GCACCACATGGGTTCCAGCGGGACCCTAAACCACACACATGTACGCATGCACACACACACATGGCATAGACTGCTAGGCTATGGCCCATGTCTGAATTTTGTCTGGGCACATGGCTGCCTAGAATAGACACTACATTTCCCAGCTTTTCTCGCAGCTAGGAATGGCCACGTAACCAGAGCTGGGCAATGGAATGGAAGAGCCCTCAAGGGGAGGAGTCAGGACCCTCTTTTCCCCATCCTCCATTCTCGTGCCTGAAATACAAACAGGGTAAGAAATCTTGGACCGTGCTCATGAAGACAATACCTGTAAATGCCAGAGCAACAAAATTAGAGCGCCCTGGACTGCTGAGGCCGTGGAGCTGCCATAGAGATGTGACTGTGTATACTTAGGATGTTACATGGAAGGGAAATAAACTATCTTACATCAAGTCATTTACTCTGTGGTTTCTGTTACTATAGCTAACTCTATCTGTAGATCCTATAGCATTGTCTTAGTAAATGAGATTCCACCATTAGTGGTTTATTTGTTTTATACTTTACTTATCATACAAGTAGTATTTATTGAGCTTTGAGTGCTCTTGTTATGTCTTCTTCAGTAAGAGCTGGTAGATTAGCACAGAACTAGGTACCAGGAAGGGGAAGGAATCTGGTCCATCAAAGGACTCAGAAAGGGGAGGTAAATTCACCTATAAGCCCACCCTTCCTGGAAACATCTCTTGCTTTGGTTTCCACAAATGGCATTATCATCTTCTGTTGAAGAAGCAACAGCTTTTAGGAAGGGAGGCTGTGATAACCATAGAAGTCTAGAAGGGGTTGAGGAAGTTCAAGTTACCAGTGACTGAAAGAGGATGCGTTTCCGTATCAGCATTTCCTGGTCCACGGGCATCTGGTCAGTGAGGCTGATGAAGGCACAGGGCAGCGGGGACATTCTCCCTGGGGTTTTGTTAGGAACAAAGGAGTGGGTGAGTGAAAGCTCGCCTTCCAGAGAGTGTGCAGGGCAGTCTGCGGTGCAGTGCGGCTGATGAGGGAGAAGGTGCTCAGGCGTGGGACTTCCCCAGCAAATTCCCACAGGAAGGAAAAAAGCGCTGACCAGTGGAAATGCAATTAAAAAGAAAAAAACCTGACATGTCAAATATACAAGAAAGAGAAACATTGCGATAAGAAGCATGGGTTGCCATTCAAAGAGACCTTTAGCTCTAAAAACTGAAAAGCTTTCAGACAGGAGCTAGAAAGCTCCCTTCACCCCATCCAGGTAACTCATGCTACTTCCAGACATTCGTCCCTGTGGTGGCTGCTGTGGTGGCTCGTTCAGCTTCTGTTCCACCTCCCCCGGGGGAGCCGTCCTGAACAGCTGGGTGGGAAAGCTGAACACTAGGCCATGGTACGGAGGGTTCCAGACGTGGTTTAGATAGTGCTGGTCACAGGTGCTGCCTAAGACCTGACCTGAATGGAGTTGGGGTGCGGAGGCATTTGTGTGGGAGGCAGTCTTTTTTGGGGCAAGGGCCGACATAATAGATGCCGGCAATAATTTTTGATGGCAGCTTTCTGACCCTGAGATTGCAGCTGAGGTGTAGTCCGGGAGCCAACAGTCACAGGGACTCCACTGTCCCGATGGCAGCAGAGGCGGTAGCTTCCCCAGCAGCTCAGTTCTGCAGTGATTTGGGGGTTTCATTTTTGGAGGCTCAGTGTGATTCCCACTCCTTCAGCCCTTCCAGTGACTTTGTAAGTCCCCAGTTACCCGGATTGCATCCCTTTCTGCTTCAAATAGGTTCAGTGGGGCCTACTATCCCCAACTGAACCCCGATGACAAAGTGCCTGACATGGAGTGGGTATCATTAAGGGCTCATTGAATGAGTGGGTGGGCACTGGAGACTGCCAAGATGTCCACAGTGACTCGGGCAGTCAGAACAGTTGGGCTCGCGCTGACCGGTGTGGCTCGGTCCGTTGGGTGTCGTCCCACAAAGTGAAAGGTCACCAGTTCGATTCCTGGTCAGGGCACATGCCTGGGTTTTGGGTTTGGTCCCTGGTCGAGGAGTGTAAAGAGAAACAACTGATCGATGCTTCTCTTCCTCATTCTCCACTATCTAAAAAATAAATAAATAAATAAATCTTTTTTAAAAAGGATGTAATTTCCAAATAAAAAATCATTCTTTAAGTTAAATACATTTACCTTTGACCCAAACCCCCCACATTACCCTTATTTTTTCATTTTGCCGTAGACCAGTGAGAGCACTGTCACGGGAAGCACCAGGGAGATGCAGGAGAGAGAGAAAGACACTACAGTGTCTGGGCAGGGAAGGCGAGTAGACAGGGAATGAGGACGGGAGGAGGCAGAGGTCTACCAGTGAGGGGCTCTCTGCCCTGAACCGCCCCATTCTCCTCATACAAGACTAGCATGGCCAGATCTGGGCCAAACCCAGAGGTCAGGTGGTTCAGTCACACCTGCACTAGCCCTGGAGACCCTGGTGATCTGGTTCCCACCTCCTCCCCCCAGTGCAGAGCGTCCTGGGCTCATGCTCGTGTCCAGTGCACTTGGGAGACAGGCCACTGGGAGACAGGCCACTGGTCTGGCTCCTCCTCCTCCAAGGAGGAGCCACTTGAGGAAGGCCCTTCCTTCCTTCTCTGGCCCCCAGTTTCCTCATCTTACAGTGAAGATTCTGAACCAGTCTCGAGGAAAACTGCAGCTGTCAAAAATAATGTCTTAAAGCCATGCACGAAGTATTCTGCATAGAATTTCAAGGGCTCCACCACCCCATTGGGGCCTTCAATGAACTTTCCAGAAGTCCCTGGACCCCATATCAAGGGCCCCAACCTGCCAATTGGGACACAGCTGCTGGCCTTTACCTCCAAATCTTCCCCTTTACTGAGCGTCAACAATACTTGCCAATCACCTAACACTCACAGTGGCGGGGCCAACCACTCCCTTCAGGGAAGGTGTAACTGTGCACAGGCGTTAGCCCCCGGGGCTCCTCGCAGGTTCACAGCAGAGCTGCAAGACACAATGAACTTCACGGGTGACTAACTAGCTGACCAAAGCAGCAGGGCCCCCCACTGGAGCAACTTTCAGTCCGTGACCACGGCGGGGAGAGGACACAGGGCCGACAGGAGTCCCTTTACTGGGAACGAGGCCATCTGGCTGCCCGAGGCAGTGTGCGGGAGCGGGAAGAAGGTAGCCTCGGCAGCCAGAATGCCCTGGGGTTGGTATTGGCACTTCGACACAACTGTGCCGCTGGGGCATGTTATCCTACCTTGACCCTTTGGATTCTTCATCTACGACATGGAGATATAGGTGACGCAGCAGAAATGATAGGAAATACTGAATATTCCCAGATTCCCTTAATGTCCCAGCCTCCCTTGCAGAAGTGTGAGGTCACATGACTAGTTTCAGCCAATGGAGTGGCAGCGTCCTGTGCCACGCCTGGCTGAGGCGTGTAAGTGACTGTGTGCTTCCTCCGTCTCGCTCTTCCATCTTCCACAAGACCCCAGAGGCCAGTGTTGCAGGTGGTGTGGCTGCAAGGTGGATGACAGGTCTCCTCTCCTGTGCGAGGCGCTACATGAGTGGCAAATAAAGCATTGTTGTGCCAAGCCACTGAAACTTCAGGAGTTCTCAGTCGTGAAAGCTAGGGTTAATCAAGATAATGAACACAAAACCTTTTGAGGCCTGGCCGGTATGGCTTGGTGGTTGGAGTGTTGTCCTGCAACTGAAGGGTTGTGGGTTCGATTCCTGGTCAGGACATGTCTGGGTTGTGGGTTCATCCCTGGTCTGGACCCTTACGACCCCTGGTATGGGCGGCACAGATCCCCCATCTGGGTGCGTACAGAGGCAACTGATGAGCGGTTCACTCACATGGATGTTTCTCTATCTCCCTTCTCCTCTCTCTCTCTAAAAAAAAAAAAAAAAACAAATGAAAATGTCCTCAGGTGAGGATAAAAAAATAGCACAACAACAAAAAACAACCAAACAAACAAAACACAGCCTTCTTAGTACAGCGGGGGCTGTTTTCTTAGAGAAAAGACCTGAGCCCCCATATGAGTTTGCTCAGCTGCCATAACCAAATACCAGAGACCAGGTGACTTAAATGACAGACACTTACTTCTCACAGTTCTGGAGAAGTCCAAGATCAGGGTGTCAGCCGGGTTGGGTTTTGCTGAGAGCTTCCTGGCTTGCACACAGCTGCCTTCTCCCTGTGTCCTCACAAGGCAGAGAGAGAGAGAGAGAGAGAGAGAGGCAACGCCTCCCAAAGGCCCATCACTCGTGGATTTGCCAGGACACAATTTACTTGATAGCAACCCCATCCACGCATGGCCCTCAGATCTTTCCTTAAGAGCACATTTCTAAGTGCAGAAGCAGGCAAAGGGTGCGGTGGGGGTTTCATCCAGGAGGAACCGTGGAAAAGGCCTGCCCCCCCCCCCACTGATTGACTGCTGCGGGTGCTCTCCCTTCACCCTCCGCTTCTTTCTGAGTTGTCCTCTCTCCTCCCCTCCATCGCGACCCCACACTTCACAGCTACATCCTTAGACAAGCAATCCACTCACTGGGACCGGAAGAGGCATCTTGTCTTACCTTCTAATTCCTACAGATGACAAGACTGGTCCTGGAAAGGGCTCGAGAGGCACCGGAGGTCGGGCTGGTTTCTCCGAACAGCGAGGGGTGGGGGGCCAATTTGGTGCCGTCTCCAGGCGGGCAGTCGAAATATCAAGAAGGAAGCTATTTCCATTTCAGTGTGTAAGTTTTGCATAACTTTTCAAAATAAAGTTTTATTTTACAGCTTTATGTTTTTGTTTGGAAGTATTGTATATTATGTGTAGAGTCCTCTGGGGTCCCTTAAATCTATAAAATCCGACCTGTCCAAGGCTTGAATCAAGGTCTCAGGGGGGCGCCTTGTTCCACCCCTCCCCGAGCGCTACAAAGGGCTTCCGCCCAGTTTCCCCTCCCTGTTGGGCAACCTGTGACCATTAACCTTCTTAATCCCCACCTCCAGCCACAGGTCAGGGAAGGAGATTTGTCCCGAGCCCTGTGCCGCCCACCACACCGCTGCAGCCCAAGGCCATGGCCACAGCCTTCGCACTCTTTGCCGGGGTCCTGCTCCCCTGCTGGGGTGCCTTCCCGCAGTTTAAAAGGGAGGTGACGAAGGTGAGTCAAAGAGCATTTGGAACCTTGCACTGTATGGAGGGCGGTGGCCGAGGCGTGGCAGTCTAGCCGGAAGGCGCCTGTTGGGTCTGGAGAGAGAACTGGCGGCGGGCTGGGAACCACCGCAGCCTGGGGATTTGTTTCTGGGCTGGAAGCCTGATGGTTCCCAACAGATGTCAAAGCCCTGCTTCACCTCCGTGGTGGCTCTGCAGGTAAAAGAAAGTGGCCGTACGTAGGACCAGCACTGTTTCCCTCCGTCCCCCACCGAGTGCCCGCCCACTAGAGAGTCTCAGCCCTGCGCCCCCAATCACACCTTATCTACCTGCTATAGTTCCTCCCCTCTCCCGCCACTTCTAGGCACAATGATTCTTTCTTCTCTTTTCCAACTTTCTTCCCCCACCCCCACCCCCGCCCCGCCAGACTTTCTGCCCACACGCCTATTAAAAGTGAGATCTGGGAGAATTGGCTCCCCTAGCACAGGCCACCCTTCGGGACCCACAGAAATGAGGGGCCCCTGGGAAAGGAGAAGCAGAGGGAAAACACCAGATCCCCACTGGTTTTCTCCCCCGTCCCTCTGGGTGCCGCTGGAGGAGGGGGGAGGGGCACATGCAGGGGGGGGTGGGACTTGGGGCTGGACACCTCAGGCTTTTTTTTTTTTTTTTTAAGATTTCATTTCTTTATCTTGAGAGCGGAAGGGAAGGAGAGAAGGAGAGAAATGTCAATGTATGGTTGCCTCTCCTGCGTCCCCTGCTGGGAACTGGCCTACAACCCAGGCATGTGCCCTGACTGGGAATTGAACCGAAATTTTTTGGTTCACAGGCGCATGCTCGATCAATCCACTTACCTACGCCAGCCAGGGCAGGCTTTTCTTCTTGGCCCCCTGTGACCTTGGCAATGCCAAGAACCGCCCTCCACCCTCCCACACCGCCAGAAAGCTGGTGACTCAAAGGTTGTCCCCACAGATGAACGGGGCTTGGTGCTCCCACCACTCTGAGTGCTCCAGTGATTGCTGCCTCATGAACTTGGACTACGGTGGCACCTTCTGTGCCCCCAAGGCCAGAAGGACCATGGTGTGCTTGCCTCAGGTGAGGCTCTGGGCTGGGGCAACCCCTTCTGGCAAGTGGGGTGGAAAAAGTTAAAAAAAAAAAACAAACAACCATATGGCTGCACCTGCTTTTCCACCCTCTGCTTGGGGTGCCCTTCCCCCTTCTCCACCTGGCAAACGCCTACTCATCCTGTAATGCCAGACACTTCCTCTGACAAACCCTCTCTCCTTGGAATTCCCACACCCTTGGCCCCACCCTCAGCAGAGCATGGGTCTCCCTGATTGGCCGTGCCTTCTGTCTGTGTTCCACTGCTTGGAGCTCTTCATGGGCAGGGTTGCAGCATATTCATCTTTGAACCTCCTACCCCTCAGCTTAGTGCCTGCAGCATGTAGCAGGTGCTCAACAAATGTTTGTTGAATGACTGAATGAATGAATGTCTCTACATTAACAGTACTGAGCCAAGGTAGGTGGGAAAAGACCTCCACAGCAATTCCCCCTCCCTACCACAAGGACCTCACTTCTGGAGAGGAACAAGGCACTGGGGCGGCAGGACCACAGCTGTGGAGTTGGACCTGAGTGTAAATTCTGGCTTTTCCACCCCCTGTCTGTGTGGCCTCAGGCTGGTCACTTCTGTTCTCTGGGCCTTAGTCTCCTCATCTGTAAAATGGGGCCCAGGTGCCTACCCCACAGGTTGTTGGGAGGAACATGTGATCCTGGCAACACCGGCAGTGCTCAGCCGAGCGTGCTTTTATTGGCTGGCGGAAATGCAGGGAGCAGAATGTTCCTGCTCGGTCTTCTGTCCTCTGAACCTGGGCCCACACCTTTGCAAGGAGGACGTGCTCGGCTCCCATGTCCAGTCTGGGGAGCTGCCAGTGCCCTTAGAAGCCAGCCAGGCCCCCGTCCTGGCCTGACTCTCCAGAAAAGTGGCAGGAGGGTCTTTTCACTGTGGGAACTTGATCTAATTTATTTCATTTAATCTCATAATAACCCGAGGAGGTGGGTTCCTGTTATTTCCCACTTGACAGATGAGAAACAGACAGAGAGGCTCATCAGCTCACCTAGAGCCGTGCAGTTGTAAGCTGTAGGGCTGACAGAGCCTGGGTTTGCCTCTCCATCACTTGTGCTCTTGCTCCTGCTGCCCCAGAAGGTTAAACCCCCTTCCTCCCCTTCACCTTGGTGACCCCCGACTCTCATGCTCACTTCCCACAGACCAAGGGAGCCACCAACATCATATGTCCCTGCCAGCTGGGCCTGGCTTGCGTATCCAAGGACCTGAACTGTCCCCGCCGGTGCCATTTGATTTAGAGGAGGATGTGGGCTCTTCACCGCCATCCTCCCTGGGGCCAGGGGCCTGGGGAGTCCCCACCTTGTTCAAAATCCAGCTCCTGAAACATTAAAGTCACTCTCCGGCTCTGGCCTCTGTCTGCATTTCCTGGGGAAAAGAACCTGGTACAGACTGTTTCATTGGTGCGAGTGGGATGGAGGGGCAATGGTGGGTGAAGGGGAGTCTGGAGGCGTGAAAAAGCTTCCCGTGGGGTTTGGCCCTGTCTGCAGGCATAGTGGCCTCAGGCCAGTACCGCAGGAAGGGAATGGGGTAGGGGTGTGGGTGACAGGAGGCTGGGTCCAGGAAGGGCCACCTCTTGGGATGCAGGGCTGTGCGGGAGGGGCAGGGCTGAGGAACATGCCCCGGGTGTATATGTTGAGGTGCCCATGGACTGGTTTGGGGTAGGAGGGACTGAGTGGGAGTATGTGGATATTTTGCTAGGGGGCAAAGGGTGGAGGTCATAGGGAGAGCTTTTTGAGAATGTGTGTGAAGTGTAAGTGCAGAAATGAAGTACAAGTGCCTGTGGTTGGAAAAGGGCCTGGTGCATTGAATCCCTGCTCCCTCTGATATTTCATTTTGTGGATAAAGAAACTGAGGCTCAGCGAGCTACATGTACAAGACCGCATCACGGGGGTATCAGTGAGGACTCTTTCTTCTGCAAGTATTAAAAAAAAAGGCGAGGGTACTTGACTCGAAGTTCCAACAAACCAGCAGCAGCATTTGCTGCAACTCCGTCTTCAGCTTCATGATGTTTCCACTGGCCAAAAACATGCTGAGTCATCTCCCAGTTTGAAGCGTTCAGCAAATAATGACAAGGTGGGTCCACTGGGAATGGACAGCTCATTTCCATGACAAATGTGGTAGCGCTGTATCGGGCTGGCGGAGCCTTTCCATGCTGCTGCACGCACGCGCACAGCAGCCCCCACTGGGATGGAATGGGGCCGGGCCCTGCTGGCAGAGCACCCAGAGGAATGGGGAGATCAGTGACCTTCCCGGCTGGTGTCATAATGAATTGTCTTAAAACCAACTCGTAACTGATCCCAAGTGAAAGCATTGTGTACCCATTAAAACGTGGCATGATTGAAGAAATAGAGTCCATTTGAAACCTTAAAAAAAAAACCCAAATTGGTCCAAATGATGAGGAAATTCATTGGTGGTCAGAACTAGACATCCAGAGGCAGGGCAGGCCTTGTGACTAAGTGCAGGCCTGGTGGCCTGTTGCTGCAAAAGCCAATGCTTGAGAGGCAGGTGCGGATGTAAAGTGGTTTATTTCCAGGTTCTGGCAACCTGGAAGATGGGGGACTCACGTCTCAAAGCCCATCTCCCCCTCTCAGTGCAGGCAGAGGTTTTTATAAGGAGGGAGAGGGGAACAGAACAAAGAGATCGAGGGAGGAGGGTGCAAAGGTCTCTACGTGAAGACAAGCACAGTCCATTCTGATAAGGCTGGTGACTGCCCGGTGCATCATCCTGGTTTAGTCATCCCGTCTCCATGCTGAAGGCCAGCAAATCTCCTGGAGCTGGGATGCCTGGAAGTCAGAGTTTATATCTTTTGAAGTTAGTTCCTAGGATTCTTATACAAACAATCTACATATTAGCCAGAATTAGCACTTACAGAAACAATGTCCAAAGAATGGGGGGACAGGTTACAACTTCCCACTATTACAATTTTCTACTGTTACAGCCTTGGATCTGGCTGAATCCAGCAGCTTCATGGCCCTCAGGCCGGATTCCTTCCCAATGGCCACTAAGTTCCAGATGTCAGCTAATAAAAACAGTTGGGGTTTACTGAGAATCTAATATGCCCCAGACGTAGTGCAAAGTGCTTTCTAATCCATATTAACTCATTGTTACAACGAGGTGATAGTAGGCACTATAATTGTCCTTATTTTACAAATGGGGAGTTAAGGCTCAATAACCCTTCTCAAGGGCTCACAGTAACGTCTGGGACTGGGATTCGGACCCAGGCTGTCTCGCTCTGGAGGGCATGCACTTAACCAGAGACCCGCCTCACGTATGTGTATGTGTATCCTGCCTTCCAGAGAAAAGAAACGTCTCTGTCCCAGGATTCTTAGCAAACATCCTAAGATTGATTGCAGTCAAAATGACTAAGTTTGCAAACTCACCCCCGAATCAGTCATTGTGGTGGAATTTACTGATTGGCTCAACCTGGGTCGTGCATAGGGGTGGAGTGAGCATCTTGGGATGAAAGTAGAAGGGCTTTGGGGCCCTAAAGAGGCTCCTTCGAGGGCAGAGTCATACGAGGGGGGACCTCTGCCCTGGGACGTTCTTCTCCTCACATGGTTGAAAATGGCTCATCTCAGCATATCTGCTCGTTCCACATTCCGTTAGAAAGAAGAGGGTAGAAAGATAGCAAGTGCTCGACCTTCCTCAAAGGGCATGACCGAGAGCAGCTGAATCATTTTCACCTGGGAAAAGCTTGGTCACATGACTGCAGATAGCTGCAAGGGAGGCTGGAAACATAGTTTTATCTGGGTATTCGTGTGCCCAGCTAAAACTTGGGGCCCTATTATTAAAGGACAAAGGGAGACTCTATAGTGGGAACAACTTACAGCCACAAAAGCCCCAAGCCTTTTGTTATTATTTTAATAAAGCAAGAGAAGCTTGGATGGCATGACCTAGAGCTAATGGTGTACTGCTAAGCAGCTCTCTCTCTCTTTTTTAAAGATTTTGTTTATTTATCTGTAGAGGGGAAGGGAAGGAGAGAGGGAGAGAAATATCAATGATGGTTGCCTCTCATGAGTCCCCTTCTGGGAACTGGCCTGCAACCCAGGCATGTGCCCTGACTGGGAATCGAACCACGATCATGTGGTTCGCAGGCTCAATCCACCGAGCTACACCAGCCAGGGCAAGCAGCTCTCTTTTTTTAAAAAAATCCTCACCTAAGGATATGTTCAATGGTTTTAGAGAGAAAGGAACGTTGATGTGAGGGAGAAACATCCATCACTGCCTGCTGCATCTCCCTGACCGGGGTTAGAACCTGGAACCTAGCCTGCAACCTTTTGGCGTATGGGAGGATGCTCTGGCAACCAAGGCACCTGGCCAGGGCAGGCAGCTCTCTCTCGAGCTGCACTTCTCCTGGGCTGTACACGCTGGCTTAACCACAGCATCGGGACCACATCCCCCGCAACTTCCCAGCAAGCCTTGTGGTAAAGCCCAGCTGAGTCTTTGTTGGAAACATGGTGGCATTGTTGACAGCCTCAAGAGAGCAGCTAACCACATCCACATCCACGGTCAAGTTGAGGCTTTCTTTTCTGTAGGAGGCGAACATGGCGAAAGACTAAAGATTTAGAAAAAAAGAACAAGATTTCTTTCATAGAGTGATATTTCTCCCCACCCCAAATGTTGACATGGTGCCACCCTTAGGCTTAATGATGAACTCTGTGGCGGGCGTGACTCCTCCCCTCCGAGTCCCTGGACTAGGGAAGCACCCCGAATCCAGACTTGAGAAGTGGGAGGGAGACAAAGTAGGGAAAAGACAGAAGCACACTCACTCCTCCCAGCCTGGCGGGTCTGGAAGCAGGTGTGCCGATCATTTGCCTGTTTGTCCTCCTCCTGCTCTGCTCTTTATCCCTGGGAACACATTTCCTAGTCTCCTTCCTTCTTCCTCTGGTTTCTAGGACTGGCTGAAGATAGAAGGGGAGATGGGCTACCTTCTTCTTCTTTTTCTTATCCTCACCCAAGGACACTCTCAATTGCTGTCAGAGAGAGGGGAAGGGAAGCAGAGAAACATCGATGTCAGAGAGAAACATTGATCGGTTGCCTCTCCCATTGGATCAGTTGCTCTGACCGGAGACCAAGCCTGCAACCTAGGCTTGTGCCCTGAGCGTTTACAGGATGATGCTCCAACCAACGGAGTCACACTGGCCAGGGCGTGGGTCTCCTGCTTTAGGTGATGTCACCAACTGTCCCCTGGTCTCCGTTAGGATAGCCCCTCCCCAGCAGCCCCAGGGGCCCCAATCACGCAGCCTCATCACACACTTCTCCGGCCACAGGGGCATTGGTGTCTTCCTGCCACTTCTGTCTCCCTGCTGCCTTGACATCCTGGTTGGTTTCCCAGCCAGGATGGTTTCCTTCCATCACCCCTGTGACCACTTCTGTATGTCATAATTCTCTCTGTTTCAAGTACCTAGAGTGGTTTCTGTCTTCCTGACTGGACAATGACTGGTGGGGAAGGAAATCTTCCGAGTGGAAGCAAAGCTGATTCTGGAACGCTAGACCCTCCTCAAATGGGCTGAAGTCACTTAAAACAATTGTTTTGGAAAGAGAGCTGAGAATGGTAGTGACTTATGAAAAGTCTTACACTTTTACTTTGAATATCTTTAAAGCCAATAAAGACTAAATACACTAAATAAAAGGTGTGCCAATGACAGTTTGCATTGCATTAAATTAGACAGTGTGAGTGGTCCCCTATAAATTCCCATTTGCCATATCTAAGGAACATTTACTGATTTTGCCTGCCAAAGACTCCTGTTCTCTGGGTAACCCGGAATTTCCTGTAAGGAAACCACCCCCTTCCCTTCTCAGTCCCTGCAGCTGAAGGGGAATATCTCTGAATTCATGTCAGAAACTGGGTCCTCTAGATGCAGGGACTGGTTCATTGGGCAGCCACCAGGCTCCTTCTGTTGCTCTGGCTTTAGGGACAGGTTTGGGGGCATGTAACCCAGCTTATCCAATCAGAGTGAAGTTTAGGATTTGTGCAAGTTGCTGAAAGTAAGTAACACTTTCTCTTCCCCTGGACATGAGCATGGGAGAAAGTAGGTCTGTGGCTGTCGGCAGCCACCTTATCACCATGAGGACTCAGAACGAAGTCAATGCAGGGGAGCCTGGAGCCAGATTATCAAGTCTTCATTTTAGCCAGAGACAAGTTGTGCCTTAAGCCAGATAGCTCCACCACTGGGCTTTTAAGTTATATAACCCAGTAATTCACTTATTTTTTTAACCCCTTTGGGTTGGATTTCTGTCACTTGTGATCAAGCAAGTCCTGGTTGATTCTCTGTCCCTTGAAGAGGAGAAGCCTTTCGGGAGGCCTGCAGAAGCGCATGCCGGAGAGCTGGATTTC